TAATTAGCCCCGTGGTTGTTCGATCACTTGATGTAAAGAAAGATCCTTTTTGCCCACAGAAGATAACGAAGAATTACTTGGTCTTGAAGTACCATACCTTAGTTCAATTGGAGCTTTAATGTATCTTGCAAATTGTACACGCCCTGATATAGCTTTTTCTATCAATTTATTAGCATGGTATAGCTCTGCACCAACTAACAGACATTGGAATGGTGTTAAACATATACTACGGTATCTTCGTGGAACAACTTACATGGGTTTATTTTATTCAAAAGGATCAAAATCCCAAATAGTTGGCTATGTTGATGCTGGTTATCTTTCTGATCCACATAAAGCTAGATCACAAACAGGGTATGTGTTCACTTGTGATGGTTCTGCTATATCATGGCGGTCTATAAAGCAAACATTAGCCACCACTTTTTCAAACCATTTTGAAATATTAGCATTGCATGAAGCAAGCCGAGAATGTATATGGTTGAGATCTATGATACAACATATTCAAGAAATAAGTGGGTCATCTTCAATCAAAAATTCTCCAACATTACTATATGAAGATAACGCTGCTTGTATTGCTCAAATCACAAATGGATACATCAAAAGTGACAGAACCAAGCACATTTCCCCAAAAAATTTCTACACGCATGAAATTAAGAAGAATGGTGACAGATGTTCAACAAATACATCCATCAACAACTTTGCAAATTTATTCACTAAAGCACTGCTAACTACAACATTTAGAAAGATAGTCAACAATATTGGAATGCGTCAACTCAAGGATCTTTTGTCAGCATCAGGGGGAGCGTGTCATAATTGAGACCTTCACACTGTACTTTTTTTCCTTCGTTCTGGTTTTTATCCCATTAGATTTTTTCAGACAAGATTTTAATGAGGCAGTGTCACACATTCTATATTACAGATAGATATGTACTATTTTCCCTTCGCCTCGGTTTTGTCCCACCAGGTTTTACTGGCAAGGTTTTAACAAGGCATGCTCCATACATGGTGGACATCCAAGGGGGAGTGTTGTAACCTCAAAGGTTATGGATGCCCACCATAAGTCCATTGTAATTCTTCCATTATACCCATCATTATACCTATCATTATATGGTTGTAACCTATGCACTAAATACCATATTTATCATTGATTATTATGTTTTGTAACCCACTACTTAAGGGTAGTAAATGGTGATGTATTTCATATGCCTATAAATAGTAGGCACTAAAGATGAATAAGACATTTGAGCATTGAGCTATTGAGAACAACTCTTAACTTCATATACTTTCTCTATTCACTTTTACAACAAAGTTGAATTTTTTAATGTTTATTTCTCTTTTTGTTTTTATAAGCTTGCCCAAACTATTAAAAAGTTTACCTAAGACATAAATGTAAAGTGAGCATAAATAGATCAGTGTGTTGACAGAAGTTTACCTACAAAATTAGGGTTAGGCATTATAAACCGTAAACCAGTCAAATCGGCCGAACCAGTCAACCTAGTTTTTTATTCGATCAACTAGGCCCGACTTGCGGTTTGAGAATTAACGAACTGCCGATTCACTTGAACCGAACTGATCCTCTTAAAATTGCAAAATATTGTAAAATTGTTAAGCCAATGGGAGTTGAACCCTAACCTCTTAGGTGAATGCATGTCTACAAACCACTGAAGTATCACGTTCTCTTGTGATTTATTTGTGTAATCAATGTATTTAATGAATTTCTAGTTAGTGATTTAAAAAATATATATTATTGAAGTGTTAGACTTTAACCCTAACAAATCTATGTGTCACGCTTTCTATTATATCTATTTGCATGCCTCCATCTTCGTCTCCACATGCCACACCTCCATCTTCATCTCCCCAAGCCACGCCTCCATCTTCATTTTCTCAGGCCACGCCTCCATTCTCTTCTCTATATTTTCTCTCCTTCTCTGGCTTTCTTATCCATCTCTTTATGTTCCTCGCCATTTTCTCCCTTCTATCTGCATATCCACCACCAGATATGATCGAAGCCAATATAGATCTTGGTGTTGCCACCGAACCCGTTTTTCGGTTAACTAGAGTCGCCAGCTCCTCCTCTCGTTGCTTCGGTGTTGGCTTTCAAAAACTCAATACCGAGGAGTCTGATTCAGTGTTCGGTGAGCCCTTCACGGCATGGTTTGGTTCGATTGACCAACATTATACAGAATTCTTAACCATTTTGCTAACGGAGGGGCTTGGATGAAAAGTTTTCGTGAGTTCATGTATGAGTTTGTCGGGTCTTTAAAATTTGGGTATGAATTTGAAATGGCCCCTAAAATTCAAGGGGTTTTATGCAATTGATCCAAATAAATATTATTTTATGGAATTTATTTTTTCAAGTTCAAAAATTTGTAAAAATAAATCACAATGGACTAAACGGGTCTATTTGGTATTCAACTTGAATCCAACTTTTTAAACTCAAAAATAGAATTTGAGTCTAAAACAAAGAAAACATGTTTGGTAGCCCTATTTTTAAAAACTCAAACTCAAGAACAATTAAAAAAACATCCCAATTATTAAAAACAAAAAATATCTGCTTTTTCAGTTTTTTTTTCTAACAACTCACAAGTTCTCAATTTTTTAATATTTGAAAATAGTTTTCAAGTTGCATACCAAACAAGTTTTTGAATCTTAAAAATAGATTTAATAACTCCTTGTTTTTAAGAAAAATCAAAGTTTTTGAGTTCCCTATTTGAATAGGATCAAACCCCCCCCCCCCCCTCACTTAACTTAAAAAAAATTAGCCGAAAGAAAGGGTTTTATCATGAATGGTCCCTAAGCTTTTCAAAAGTCTTCATTTAAGTCCTTCAACTTCAAATCAATCATTTTGGTCCTTAATGTTTTGCACACATCAGTTTGGTCCCTCTCGTCGCATTTTGTCAAAATATTCGTTAAATCTCACACATTTTGTGTAACATCCCACATCGACCAACGAAGAGGGGTTGATGTGTCTTATATGTACATGGCCGCCTCCATTTAGCATGAGGCCTTTTGGGAGCTCACTGGCTTCGGAGTCATAGGAACTTCGAAGTTAAGCTAGTTGGAGCTAGAGCAATCCCAGGATGGGTGAACCACTGGGAAGTTGCTCGTGAGTTCCCAGAAACAAAACCTTGAGGGTAGAGAGGGGAGCCCAAAGCGGACAATATCGCGCTACGGCAGAGCAACCTCCCAGTGGGTCACCCATCCTGGGATTGCTGTAATAACCCAAACTTTAATTAATATTTAACTATTAGTTTATTAAGGAAAAATGACACTTTTGCCCTTAGACTATTTTAGTAATTAAGAAGTTGACTTTTTGACCGGAGATGAGTTTGGAAATTTTGTTTGCACAGTTGCGTAGAGCGCGACGAAACGAGTCCGTAGACACGTAGCGGGCTCGATTTGGAGTTATAACGAAGAAATTACGGTCAAAATACTTCCAAGGGCAAAATGGTAATTTTCGAAATCAGGATTTTTTTTTAAACCACCGACTTTCTCTCTCCTGCCTCACTCTTCTTCCTCGCGACACAGCCCCCCCCTGTTTCAACCCGCCACCTTCTCTCCTCCATAACTACCGCCACCGTGAACCACCGGCCACGAGACCGGATCCGTTCGAACCGTCAGCCTTCCCCCATCACTTCCCGACCAGCCTCAGTCGTCGCCGACCTCGGAGCTCGTCGGAAACTGGAGAAAAACCCGCCGGTTTCAATCGAATTTCCAAGCTTTCATTCTCCTTCGTCCGGCTACCAAATCGGACGATCAAGGTATGGATTCCTACCTATTTTTCGTGACTTAGCTGCTGGTTGGGTAGGATTTTAGAAATTTCAAGCATAAATCGTTCGATTCTCAACTTAAGTTTCAGCCGGTTTTGAGAGTGTGATTCCAGCCACTTCCGATCACTTTTTGGGGTAGGTCCAAGAACAAAAGTGGTTCCAAATTGGGTGTTTTACCTAAGTTAGGAGTTTGGGCCGGCGGTTTGGAGTTTTTCCGGCCACCGGAAATTTCTCAAGCCACCCAAGCTGCCAGCGCGTGTGGCGGCGCGTGGGCAGTCTGGAGGGGACCACTCTCAGTTTCAGAATGATCCTCGTATTCTCACGAGCGTGTAGAAATTCGCGGATCTCAATTCGGACGTCGTTTGAGTGTTAAGCGGACTTTTACTTTTTGTGTGTTATCCGGGTTCAATAGTTTCGAACCGTTGGATCGTGATCACTTTCAGATATGTTAACCTAGACCTTGCCAGGATTGTGTAGGATTCGACGGATCGTGAATCGGAGTCCCGGATACTCCGAAATCGCAAACCCTAGGATTAAAGGTTTAGAATCGTCGATCGTGTGATCGTGACGAATCTAACCGTCCGATCGAAACCAGATTCACGGGACGAATGTCCTAGGATTAAAGGAACGTAATGTGGGCATAGGAATAACTTTAAATTGATGCACGCACTTCTAGAAGCCATGGGTCAGGGTTTTATTTAAATATTTATATCAAGCAGTTTTATTAATATATTTTATTATGATATTTGAATCAGGCACTCGGGCACCAGTTGACCCGCAGGAGGGACCTTCCAAAGGTCCAGCGAGCTCGGACCAACCGTGAGTGGACTCTTTGTTTTCATAAATGAATTTATGCAATTTAGTTTCAGTATTTGATCTTGAACAAGTTTTATTCAAAGAATAGTATTTTATAAGTGAGACATGCTTTTAAATATTATGATTTGCATGCTGCCGAGTGGAATATCCTTTAGGGATATAGAGAAAAAGAATTTTTGTTAAACATCAGATAAATGGCAGCAGAGTCCAATCTTAACGGAAATTCAATTATTTACCAGATCTTTCAAAACTTTGCTTATTATTATTGTTATTGTTATTTTCTAAGCCACTTGAGGTACCCAGATATACAGATGTTGCCTCCGGATATGATGATATCCACGGACATCCAGGTTGCCTTCGGATTTTATCAGTTACCTTCAGTTTAGTCAGCATGCTTGACAGCTGCCCACGAGTTCTATGGTACCCGGACTCGTGTGGAGCGAGGACGCGGATCAGGTTGACCAAGGTCCCCTGAATCCTGCGAGGTTGCAGCTCGGATTGACTTTGTGTCACCGAGACCTGCGAGGACGTGTCACCAATGGTGATGCGAGGGGAATTGACGGAAATAAAGGGGTACACCTAAGTGGTAGTTTTAAACTGATTTCAATGCTTTTAAGAGATTGATGTTGACCATGAACATGATTGACATATTTATATATGTATATATATAAGTGCATTGGTTTCAGTACGTATATACAGAAGAGAATGATTTTAGTTTTTATAATTGCTTTTACAGTGGGGTTAGTATGTTCATATGTATTTTCTAAACTTTGTTTTTGGGTCCACTCACCTTTTTAATGTTTTGCGCCCCCAGGCTGTAGACGTGCATCTGAGAGCCACCACCGGGCATTTCCGCCTCCCGCTCTTCCTCGTTTTGATGTAGGGTTCCTTGCTTCACAAGTGGTTACCTCCTTTGTAAATAAATCTGTATAGTTGCTCTGACATTGCCCTGGAACGTATTTAACTGTTGGAACTTACTTATTTTGTATGCTGGCAGTTGGTGTTTATATTTAAGTGCTTGTTTGACAGGTGTAAATTTTGGGAACGTTTGATTTACAGGGGAGACTCTGCCGAATTTTCGGTAGAAGTTAAGATTTAAGGGAATTAAGTTTCTAATCAGAAAAAGGGCAACCAAGTCAATTGTGCTCGGCAACTGCCAGGTGTCGATCACGAACAGGGTTCGGCTCGGATTCCAAAGTGGAATTTGGGTCGGGTCCTGTCAATTGCTCTAGTTCCAACTCTCTTAACTTCGAAGTTCTTAAGACTCCGAAGCCAGTGAGCTCCCAAAAGGCATCGTGCTAGATGAAGGCGGGCATGTAAATATAAGGCACATCACCCCCTCTCCGTTGGTCGATGTGGGATGTTACAATACACCCCCCTTAGAGGCCCGACGTCCTCGTTGGCACACTCGCACCACACTGCAGAATGGCTCTGATACCAAATTGTCACATCCCGGGATCGACTTCGCCGTAGCACGATATTGTCTGCTTTGGGCCCTCCTATCTGCTCTCACGGTTTTGTTTCTGGGAACTCACGAGCAACTTCCTAGTGGATCACCCATCCTGGGATTGCTCTAGCCCCAACTCGCTTAACTTCGGAGTTCTCAAGACTTCGAAGCCAGTGAGCTCCCAAAAGGCCTTGTGCTAGATGAAGGCGAGCATGTACATATAAGGCACATCACCCCCTCTCCGTTAGTCGATGTGGGATGTTACATTTTGCCTAATAAGACTATCTGCTTTCCTTGATGAGATCCAAATGTAAAACCCTCAATGAGGAAAAGAAAACATAAAATGAGCTATATTGGGTTGAAAATGCATTTTAAAAGTTGGTCACATGATAATATGTGACAGAATTCAACAAATGCTTTGTCAAAAGATCAAATTAATGTGTATACCAAAAGATGAATGACCATTTATTAACTCGAGAGTTTAAGGTATAAAATAAGGACATTTTAAAATTTCAGCGACCATTTATGATCAAAACCCCAAAAAATTTTAAGTTAAAACACTTTTTAGACAAATACCAAAGCTAGGGTTAGGAAAAAAAAAGTTGTTTATGATCCCAAAATTTGAATTTGGATGGGAGTGACCTAAAAGAGTGACCTATAATAATAATACGTCTGATTAATTAAAGAAGAGAATGGCATCATCATCTTCATCAGACTCTACAGCTCCTCAAACCCCACAACTCCGAAAAGACTCCGTGACAAACCGGTGGGTGATATTCTCACCCGCCCGAGCCAAGCGACCTTCAGACTTCAAATCCAAGTCCCCTATCAATCCCAACCAACAACACCAACAACAATGTCCCTTCTGCATCGGCCACGAGCACGAGTGTGCTCCCGAGATCTTCCGGGTCCCGCCCGACAACCCGGACTGGAAACTCCGGGTAATCCAGAACCTCTACCCCGCGCTCAGCAGAGACATCCCTGCTGCTGAAGAAGGAAATCACTCGGATTCGGGTCGGGTTGTGGTGAATGGGTTTGGGTTCCACGACGTAGTGATTGAGACCCCTGTTCATTCGGTTCAGCTTTCTGATTTGTCGCCGAGAGAGATCGGTGAGGTTCTTGTTGCGCATACGAGGAGGATCAAGCAGCTTATGAGCTACGATTCCATCAAATATGTCCAGGTTTTTTTTGAGTTTGGCCTTACATTTTTGTACAATTTTGAGTTTATATTTGTTTCTTTTCGATAATTCAATTTGGAAATTTGGGTGCTTGAATTGGTTAAAAATGAATTTTTCATATGGTCGGCAATTTATAATTTAACATTTGAAATTGGAGAATGGGATATATGAGTTGTATATAATTGGAAAAATTCGTGCACAAGTTCAAATGGATAGAGCGCCGGTTATTTTATTGGAAATACTATAAACGAGGAATTATGTTGTCATTAGATTAGCCTCTGTTTATTGTATTTAAATCTTAACTTGAAGATGGCTTCTGTTTTAAGAATCATGAGCTTCTTGCTTAGTGAGATATGAGGCATGATCAGGCATATTCAAAATCAGGCATATGGAAGCTTGATTTGGAAATGTCTGTATCCAGAAAACGTTTAATTTGAATGGTATTGTATGCATTTTCTGAAGTCCATTTCCTCTACAAAATCTCTTCCTTTCTCCTTACCCTGTCAGACTTCTATTTAAGCTTATTTTTTGTTAATTCTTTGAAGGTGTTTAAGAACCACGGTGCTTCAGCTGGGGCATCAATGAGTCACTCTCACAGTCAGATAATGGCTCTTCCAGTTGTTCCTCCTGCTGTTGCTACCCGACTTGGCAGTATGAAGGAGTATTTTGAACAGACTGGGAAATGTAGTGTCTGTGAATCTAACTCAAAGGATCTACTGATTGATGTTTCAGCCCATTTCATTTCAATTGTACCTTTTGCTGCTACATTTCCATTTGAGATGTGGATCATTCCTCTGGATCACTCTTCTCATTTCCATGAGCTAGATAGCGAGAAGGTAATTGTCTATGTTATAGAAACTGACATGTTGACGTATGAACTGATTTTGCTCCTACTTTGGTAAGAAATTATGTTGTTTATTTTGAAATACTACTTGAAACATACGTAATTAATTCCATTATTTGGATTAATGAAATACATTGGTTTTCTTTTTTGTCAAAAAGGAAAATTAAAGTATAAGATTTGTGTGATGATCACTTAAAATATGCTATTTTCATATCCCAATGTGAACGACTTTTTAGGTAGGATTCTTGTTTGCAAAATTTATATGCACAATATGGCCAAATTATGAAAAAGAAACATACTATGAGTAGGAATAGAAAAACACCATTGGGAGTTGCTTCCAGTATTATGGTAGACTTTAATAGGGGCTTATATAAAGCATGAATCTTTAGGGTTAACGACTCTGTCTTTGACTAGAAAAACTGAGAAATAATGATTTTATGGCAGCCTAAGAAATTAGCTCTTCATGTGCCATAGGGTTTCATCTACAGATTGTTAGCTCGCATGGTTGAAAATAGCACAGAATTCTGCATATCGATTATTGTGGTACTGTATTTTTGACAAAATATTCTTAGCTTGTATGCTTTAACATGTGTGTCGAATCATAAGAATAATTATCACACTCAAAAACAAGTTTCTAAATATTTCTTTCAGTGTCATAGATGGTACATTCAGCTTATCTGATGCAAGTATGCACCCATTTAGATACCTATGATTGCTTGCCTGAGACTTTATATGCGACTTTGCAGGCAGTTGAACTTGGAGGGCTCCTAAAACTCGTGCTTAGGAAGATGTCTTTGCAGTTGAACAATCCACCATTTAATTTCATGGTTCAGACTTCTCCACTTGGGGATAATGCTTCACAGTTACCTTACTCCCATTGGTTCATGCAGATAGTTCCTCAATTAAGTGTTGTTGCTGGGTTTGAAATGGGAACTGGGTGTTACATAAACCCAGTCTTCCCAGAGGATGCTGCAAAAGTTTTGAGGGAAGTAAAAGTTTCACCTTAGGAGTGAAGCAATGAAAATTACTGGGAATTTTATAGTTCTAAAAATAAAAATTTGAAAATTGAGAACATTACTAATTTGTATGAGAAAACCAATGTGTTTCTATATTGGTAGGGTTTCTTCATTTTTCCCCTGAATATTTGTGTAGTTTATAGAATCTCTCCTATGTGTAGGGAAGAAGGGTGGTGAATTCTCATCACGTGACGGTAGCTTGTACTTTTCACTTTCAGTCGTTACATCTGACCTTGATGCACAAACTTTTTTCTTTATTTTTAAATTTATTTTCTATTTTTATTGCTAGGGGAGTTCAAGGTATGATCAAACACATTGATAATTTTTTGTTTTAAACAAAATAATTTGGTGATCATATGTATACTACTGTATGCTAAGGATGGGTCGGTCATGAGGAGAAGGGAGGGGGGAGTAGGGGCTGATGGGTGGTGTATCAGCGCTTCTAACATATCTTTCTACGGATATGATGGTGAGGTTTAAAGTGAGACGCAAAATATCAAGGGCAAGTCGGGTTATTTTAACTTCCAGAGGACAATATGATATTTGACCGTATATTTGGTGACTAGGAGATTGGATTGGAAATGATAAGTATCCTTCATTGACATTATTAGTGTCCTGTGTTCATATCTTGGCGTCAACATTTTGAGTTCAGGTCAAGGGGTAGGAGTAGTGGGATTATGTAGCCTACCTTTTTGGTAGATAAGTTTTCTGTTCATATCTTGGCGTCAACATTTTGAGTTCAGGTCAAGGGGTAGGAGTAGTGGGATTATGTAGCCTACCTTTTTGGTAGATAAGTTTTCTTACAAAAATACGCATAATAGGATTATAGTGGGATTATTTTTTATCCTATTCACATTCATTTTTTAGCACCAAATACGCATTGAATTAAACTAATAAATCCTACGGTACCCACCAAACGATAACCATAATGAAGTATATGAATTGTCTTGTAGCAAAAATATCGCAAGCAGCTCCGCTAGTCACATTATCCACTTGCATCCTCATATCGTTATATGCTCTTGCAAGCAAAGCCAATAATGATATGTGGACCCTCGCACCCCCTGAAGCACAGACAAAAAAACCAATATAGTGTGGAATGGTTCTGGAAAATGGCAATTAGGAATCCTAGGAAGAGAGAATTTTTTCACAAATTAACAGAAAGAAAGCATGAGCATGGCTTTCAGTCCATTTTTGTTACCCAATTTCAGTCCTTTGTCCACTGCTAGTGCTAAACACATAGATTCTTCTTCTTACCCTTCTCTACCCTCTTTCAGTTTCTTGCAGCTCTACAAAACTAACAGCAACAAGAGAGAATTCCCAGTTCCAAAAGTGGCTTCAATCCCCTATCAACCCATCAATGTGGACTATTTGGAAGAAGAGTTCAGTGGCCATGGAGTGATATTCAAAGGCATTGGTGACAGCTGTGTGGCCAAGATGGAATTGGAGAATGGTAGTAAAGCCATCATGATGCTGCCAAGTGGCTTAATCACTTCCTACAAGGCTTCCATGTGGCATGGCGGCACGGTTGAATTGCTGCAGGCTTCAGTCTCTGAGTCAGAGGAGAAGAATGAAGGTGCTGCTGCTGCTGCTGGTGTTGCCATTCAAGGAGGGGTGTCTTTAGCCTTTGATTGTGTAAGTGAGGATGAACAAGTTTCATGGTCTCCAACAAATTGGGCTCTTCATGACATTACAGGAAATCCTCAGCAAGAGATTCAGGTTGGTTTTTACTTGCTTTCCTCACAACCAAGGAACCTATCAAAACAAACTGAATTTTATTTTATTTTTATTTTAAACCAGTTGCAAACTTATTTGCACTGTAGATAATTCTAGAGAGGTTCACAGAGCAAAATAGAAAATTGCAGTTAAGTAATCAATATATTAGAGCAGAATGTCATTGAATGCCATACATAGTTGCTTGAAACTAAGTAATAGAGTGAGACAAAGTTCAACAAAAGGGAAAATAGTCAGGTGGCTACATGAATTTGGCAAGACAATGTACAAAGCTTAGTAGGTCAAACTGTTTACGCAGTTAACTCTAGTTTCCTAATTTGTGTTACCAGCAGTAGAAATAAGGAAGGCTACTGCTAACATTCACATGTGCACTCACTGAAGGGCATTTGCACAGTCTTAAACACTTTTTTCCATTATAATTAAAATCGAAAAGACTAATCAAACAACGAATTTATTTCAGGCTTGAAGTTTCCGATACCGTTGTAGTCAGATTCTGTCCTGTTTATGTTTTGACTTATTCATTGATGATGCATAGGATTTAAGCCAGTTCTTAGAGAAAACCATTAAACTGAGAATGCAGGTACAACTGATTAGCACTGATTCAGAGGACAAGGTTGAAATCAAATACGTTATCACCCTGAAAGAAGACGTCTTGGTCTCAGAGCTTGTGGTCTCTAACTCTAAATCTTCATCCCTCCAACTAACTGGGTCTATTTTAAGTCATCTGACAGTGAGCTCACCAGATGCAACTTATGCAGTTGGTTTGGAACGATCAGATTTCTTTAGCAGGTTGCCCATTTTGTCAAGTTTCGGGATAATCCCTCCCGACTTTGGCCTAAAAAATGAATCTCAGATCAGCAAACTATGGCAGCAAATGGCACAAAAAGCATTTATGCCTGGCTGGGGTCCAAAGACTCAAAACGATGATGGCAATGAAGCAGAGAGAAACCAAAGAGAAAATGAAGAAGAAATGGAGGGTGAAGAAGATGACAACTACAAGCATTTAAGAGACCAAATGAGTCGAATATACACCAGCGCGCCTACCGACTTCACAATCATTGACCGGGTACTTTGAAAAACTAATTAAATTCTGAATCCTCATACACATTCTGCACTCTCAACAATTGACACTCTTTTTCTTATATTAAAATTGTGGCTTTGTGGAACAGGGTAGAAGAAACTCTGTCATAGTAGGAAGAGATGGGTTTGATGAACTATACATGTTCAGTCCTGGCTCAAGTCATGAAGACTATGGCAAGTATTCATATATATGCGTCGGCCAATCGGCGGTTCTCAAGCCAGTAATTGTGGGTCCTAATGAATCATGGAGGGGTGGACAGCGCTTATACAACCCAAATCTTTAAGTTTTCATAGCATGACTCTGCTCTCATCTTCTAAGCCTTGGTGTAACAACAGACAGAATATAACTTTCATGTTATGAGATTGTGTGCAGAAGATAAAGCAGCTCTTGATTATGTTGATGCGAAATTGTTCCAATCTATCAAACTAAAAAAAATACCACATAAGGTTGTTACAACTACAAGTGGAGCAATTTCTGTAGTTCACCGTATTTAAAAGACTCATCTTTTACATCTACTGACCTCGCAAAAGACCTTTTTTTCACCTTTCAGATATTAAATACCCTTCTGAAGACATTGCATGCCACAAAGTACATACCAAGTTATGTGCTTTGTCTTAAAAATAACAATATCAAAAGCAGTAAACGATAAACATTTCCTCAAGAACACAAATTCTTTTGATTCTTTTCAGTACATTGAACATCCACGTCTAGTTGAGATGGTAAAATTCTAGTGTTACAAAAGATACAGAGAGATTCTCTTGTCTACCATTGCCTACTTTATCAAAAGAATTTGATACATCAAATTGAGTAACGACGTTGGAAGAAGAGAACGCGCACATTAAGTTGGAACAAGATAATAACCTTCATGCCCTTCACCTTGATCATTAATCCAAAGTAGTGGCATAGCTACTGCAAGTAGTGCGAACGAAAGTCCACACAACAATTTCACAGCAACCTTTCGACGGGCACTTTTTATGCCAGACATTTGAGTTTCTGTTTCATTTTCTGGAACAACCTCCTGAGACACCTGCAAATCAGCATCCACAGGAATGCCATCTGTTGATGATACCGATTCAGGGCCACCTTGAAACTGCTCATCACCAGCATAGAAGCTCCCATTCTCTCCGCATTCATAGTTCACACCATGTGAATAGCCTTCTTGGTCGTATCTGGCATTTGGGCTCCAATCAAATTCACTCATGGATAAACTTCTAAATCTTCTGGCTCGTTTCTCAGAGGACTTAGAGTAGACATTACTTGGATCCTGAAGAGAGTGAACAAGCCTCCTCGGAGTGTTGAAGATGATGTTGTCAACATTGATGGGAGTGCGTGACCTCTGAATCACCAGTGAGGCATCCCAAGATTGGCAACGCACAAGAAAATCATAAAATTGGCATATTTAAATAAAAGTTAAGCTTCAGTAGATAGACAGCATAAGTAAGCACAACACCATTGTCAGGCTGTAAAGCAATCATTGACCCAACAACTTAAGCTGTCTGCGGATAATGGTAATCAACCAGTTTTACCATGGAAGAGCAGGAGATTCCGAATTTGAACCTCAGCAATTATATCCTCCCAATATATAGACAGCATAAGTAAGCAAAACACTATTGTCAGGCTGTAAAGCAATCATTGGCCTAACAACTTAAGCTTTCTGAGGATAATGGTAATCAACCAGTTTTACCATGGAAGAGCAGGAGATTCCGAATTTGAACCTCTGCAATTATATCCTCCCAATATAAATTGAATTTCACTTGTTGGGCTCTAATGGTGAAGAGAGAACCACACGTGAAGGGGGATGTTAGAACATAAAACAAGTATTGGTTCACATCCTGAGCTTAAGGTTTTGGGATATTGATAAAACAACAAATTTATCAACTAACACGCAATACCATCTCACTATCAGTAGCCTTAATTTTCCAGAACACAAATTTTGAAGCAGAGATAATGTGCCAAAGAATCAGACATATTTTTGGACTCTGTACTATTTTTACAATCCAGCAAGCAGTTTATTTACCTTCTTTCCCTCATTAATTTCACGCTTTCAGGTTAATTTTTGACCTAAATCCAAAAACTAGTTGAGTAACTACTTCTACCACCATCACAATCAAACCATTAACAGCAGTTTCTTTCCACATCAGAAACACAGAATAAATTGCTACACATGTACAGGTGTAACTTACCAGAGGACTGGTTGTGGTGCTTCTTGATGCTCCATTCCTAGGATTTCTTTGCAGGAACCCTGCAAATTCCTCTGTGCAATCTCCTTCGCATTTGATGAATTCATTATTCCCAGAGTTCTCTGGATATCCATTCGAGTACGCACTACCCCGAGCAATTTCTGAGAACAAGCCATCCTTGAGAGACACATCAACTACTCCATTCTCACGACTCCAAAGCTTCCGGTTTACACTCCTACAATCATAAATTGAATTTTGAGAAGCCTGACTCATTGAAATAGGTGACTCAACCAATGATTCATATTCAACAAAGGAATCAAGGGTCTGTGACTCGGGTGACATTGATGCAGGAGATTGATCACCGGCACTTGATAGGTTTCTCCTCCTGCTGTGGCCTCTCCTAATAAAATTTGACCCACAGACAGAACCAGGACCTTTTTCAAGTTTTGAGCCTTTATCTGCGCCTATTCTCCTTGCAGTTTGCAGAGCTTCAAAGGCAGCCCCTTTAACATAAGCCATCTGATCAGATTGACACTTCTCCATTTCTTCAATTATCAACTCAAGCTCAGAGAGAATGCTCCAAGGATCTAAGCATCTCATCAAGAAATTCACCATTGAATAGCTGACAGCCGCTTCTGAGAATTCCCTTCCACTACACCAGCATTCAATATCCGCAGTCCTGCTTGTATCAACAACCTAGCATATGGTTCAACAATTGTAGCATTACGTTTTGCAAGAGCCATAACCAGACCCATGTGTGCATTTGTCTGAGTGGACTTCTCCTCCAAAGCACCAGAAACATTCTGGCATACCCTATTAACCATCTCATCTGCAGCAAAACGCCAATTATCCGAATCAATAAGAGCCTTTAAGCAAAGTGCAGCTCCAGAAGTCAAGCTCTCTTGAGAACCCAAGAGAGAATCCGACAGAGGATTGCAGAGTGAATGAATAATGTTCCTTTTCTTGTCTTCAGGGGTGGTTGGGTCAATCCCATATCTAGCAATAGCTGGGACCACCTTGAGCAGGCTTGTTGAAGAGGGAAAGACCCTGCACTTGAAGCCAAGGTCTTGATTATGGTGGCCATGATGCTGTTTATCAGAGGTACTATCTTGACACCATGAACACGAGCGAGAACTTCATACAGTGAAATAGTGCATTCTCCCGACAAAGAACCAGTTTCTTTAGTTTGAGAAACTTGGGCAAGAAACATTGGGATTGCCTTGGAATCCAATTCTTTCACATAGGATTTCAGTGCTTTCATTGCTGATCTACGACTATCAGCATCTTTATCAAGATTTTCCAATTCACGCCTTAGTATTGGGCTTAAACTCCTGCCCATTGTTGGCCTGCATCCAATTCAAGAAAAGGGTTATTGAAAATGGTTTCATGAGTTGGGTATTTCAATTTGCAAGACCAACACAGAATGAACATACAATCCATGAAAGTCCAAGACTTTGAGATGTATTGAACTTCCCCAAGTCCCAAGCAATGAAGAAATATGAGGTTTTGAGCTTTAGCAAGACAACAACATCAAATGTCAAAACTTTTCTGCATCTCCAAGTCCTAAATGTCGAAAATCCAATATTGAAGACGAAAGTTCGTTTCTTTGCTCACTTATACATAGAAACCAAATTCATTTGATGCGAAAAACGGAAAAAGATATATCTTTCTATATATTTTCTAGGCCAAAGCAGAAAAATAACTCAAAATAGGAAATGAGTATCATTTCAGAATTCACATTACTCAACATTAAACATCAAAATACAAAATAGAAAAACGAAGAGCCAAAATTCACGAACAAAGGACTGCTTTTAACATCAAGAACTGAGAAATACCAGTAGTATGGACTATGGAAGACCTCCAGAGCTCTCTCCTGCTCCTAGGGTTAGAGCTGTGCTTTTTATCCTGCGCTGAAACAAAGGCTTTTGAAGGCCAGAGATGGTAACTCAGAGAAGAGAGAGAGAAAGAGTGAGTTGGTATTTGTATTTGGGTTTGTGCGTTGAATTCATAATTAGCGTGTATTTAGGGCTGTCTTGATGAGCTTTCTTTTTCCGGCGGTACCCAGAGTTTCAAATCTTCCTTGTAAATTCCACCGCTCTCCCTTTTGCAGTGGATCCCAAAATGGTATCCTCTTGGACGAAAATGCCCCTCTTCTTATTAGTATGAATATTTGAATGACCAACACAGAATGAAACATACAATTTTGAAGGAAAAAGTATGAATAAAATAAGTACGTCTTTAATCAATAATTTTGAAAAATATAAATGAAAATTTTAGCCATTTTTTAATATATGTATAATATGTGATTTTTTTTTTGTATTATTCAAAAATTTGTAAAAAATATGCATATTAAACATGAAGATACGTACATACATACATACATACATGTATTGTATGTCTAATTTTAAAAAAATACAAAAAATGAAAGTATTTTTAAAAAATACTTACGTATGCCTATAGTATAATACGAGTATTATAGGGGGGAAATGCTAATAAGCCATGAGACAAAATAAAACTCACATTTTTTACACAACAAAGTTATTTGTTCTTCTTTATAGAACGCCAGTTTAAAATCGGTAAATAGAGAATAGATGACCTTGTTAAGCAACAAATGTGGATTTTATTTTGTCTCTTGGGTGGATGAGCTAAGTTTTGATGAAAATATTCTCCTTTTTTGTTTTTGTCAAAACTGCAGAATTTATTGAATTGAAGAATCAAAGTTTACATCTCTTGCTAAAATATTAGAGAGCCATACTAGGCAGGATGAATCCCAGCTAAATGAAAATATTCTTTTAAAGTTTGTCACATGTTGACGCGCAACCAGTTTTAATGAATGCATTAAAAAAAAATCAATTTTAATGAAATGCAATAATATGGACTAATTTGATTTGTGAACCAAAAGATTAAACATCATATTGATTGGTTTGGAACTTTAAGGAATTTTTAAAAACAAATTCAAGGATCTTTTGCGAAAAAAAATCATTATAAATAATTAATACGAAAAGAAAGTTGTTAGGGGTAAGTTTGGAATGAAGATTGCTATTTTTTTTTTTTCAACACATTAAATACTTAGTTTTTTTTTTAAGAAGAACATTTCATTCATAAGCTAAAATAGACATATAAAGATTGCATGAATATAATAGCCTCATTAAAACTTTTTATTAGGAGAACAACTAAAATTGTATTTAAGGGCATTATCTCCCATTCTTTATGGGAAGTTCTCTCATATTCCTTAACTTGATGTTGTAATGAGGTTCCTAGTAGGGTATAGTTTAGTTGGTTAAGCTCTTCTGCCTTCATCATGTGTGGGTAAATGTTCGAAACCCCCAGACAATCAATGAATATTTGTGTAAAATCTCCCTCCACCAATCACTTGTACTTATAAATAATAAAAACCTGTTGTCATGAGGTTGTCCATTGTATTGTTCAATTTTCTCTCTCTTGTGACATTGTCATTTTTCGGGTTACACAACCTCTTGAATTTAATCGTAGTGTTCTTATTGATTATGAATACAATATCATCATTAAGAAATGATATACTTTAGGGCTTCTTAGATCTATGTCCAAAACGATTAGTTGTCATTAAGCTAAGTCCTCGTCGCTTTGGTTTTAGATGCAGGTCTTTTGACTTTTATTACTTTTTTTGTTGTATCGATTTTACCCTTTGAGGTAAATAAGAAACACATTGAAAATCCAATTTAATGCATTATTTCATTGTAATTGAATTTCAAGTTTTAAAATATGAATTCTTTCCTTTACCTAATATATGGATAAAATACAATTTAATCAATAAAAGTAAATACCCACATATTATACTAATTGATGAGACAATCACCCACATGAAATTATGTACTGATGCATCAGCTAAACACCCAAATATTGAAAACACAATATGTTATACTTATCAAGTTGATTCGTGGTGTTTAAGCATAGCAACAAATAAAAAATTTGACGTTTTTATGAACCTATTATACATGGATGAATTTGTCCAAAGTTAAAAATAAGCATATATATTTAGTGAGGTCACTCAACATCCGAGGAAGATGGAACCATGAAGGTGTTATGGGTAATTTGGTCAACCTTGCTCTCCCATCTAAATTTTTTTGGGGGGGGGAAAACCTTGTTTGTTTCAAAAAAATACTCGGCGGGTGAAATGGTTGGTTTCCCGCTCCATTTTCTTCTAAAATATTTGAAGGCAGACAAAACAAAACGGCTCAGGTTTCAAAATGACCAAAGCATCCCTCTAATTTGGTCTTCTTGTGGCTTGGAGGAAAGCAGACCCTGGGCCCATCCACCTAATCCAAACTTGAAAGAGAAAAATTGCTTCAGTGGCTAAAATCCGTGGCTAAAAAAACTGAGAACTACATATATCGGACTTGACGGTGTGGGCAAAATGAAACGCAAAATAACAGTCAATGTGGTACAATGAGTTACTTTAATTTTCAGGGAACAATATGAGATTTGACTAAATTTTTAAGAGGCACTAGTATAATTAAGCATTATATATATATATATTGAGGGATCTCTCAAATAATTGTATTTGAGGGACACACTTTAGGGTACCCTACGAATTTATTTTCAACAATCCAAACCATCTGTTTTTTAAGTCGATATTCATAGATCATCCTTGCAAAAAATTAGACAAATCGGAAATCGTTTCAACATCCAATTGTGTCATATAAAATCAATGAACACAATGTTTCAAGAAAGTATTAAAATTTCGAGAACTCAATTAATTGGTCAAATGATATCAAATTCAAGTGATTTTTTGTAAAGATGATTTTTGAATGAGTATCTACAAAATAGACGGTTTGAATTAGTGAAATACAATCCGGAGTAGGCCCGACAAAGGGTGTCTCTCAAATAAGTTATTTAGGGATCTCTCTCTCTCTCTCTCTCTCTCTCTCTCTCTCTCTCTCTCTCTTAGGGATCCCTCAATGGAATATATATATATATATATTTCTCTCTCTTATATATAAACTGATAAAAAAGAGTAACTTCCTTCTTGGCATCACAATACAAAAAAGGTCAGGAATAGTTACCAATTTTTTTTGTGACTATTGGCAGCAACAGTCACTTTGTTGGTGAGTAAGCCCTATAATAATGTTGAAATTAGGCAATCTCCAGTTATAGGGTTAAATTAAATGTAGGCCATGACTAAATATTTAGCCCTTCAAAATATTAATTTTTTAAAGAATAGTGCATGACTAAATTTTTCCATCTCTAGCCATGCAAGGCTATATTTTAGGGTCCATATTTTATTATTTTGAGGAAAACTATGGTATAACACTCATGCATTCCACAACTATGTATTGTTTAATTTTTTTAAACAACAAAAACATTTAAAAAACCACAAAAAAAAAAAACAAAAGGATGGGTTTCAATGGTCTGACCTCCAATGTGTCATGACTCAAACCATTAATTTTTTATAATTTGTTTACGAATTGAAAACATTTAAAAAGGTGACCACATTTAAAAATATAAAAAAATGGTGTTGGGTTTCAATAGTCTGACCTCCAATGGTCATGACCAATAATTTTTTATAAATTTTTCTTAAACAATACGAATTGATTTTTCTTAAACAATACGAATTGAAAACATTTAAAAAAGCTTTTAAAAATATATCAATGACGTCATCGCTTTTATTGTTGGTTGTTGGATATGCATTTGCACGAGATTATCGTGCTTTTGCCTACACTCGATAATTTATCTTCTTCAAAAGCACATGTATGGAACCCACAAAAAATTTGGCCTAGGCCAAACTTGGGCTAAATGTGGCCCTGTTGGAGGGCTAATGAGCCAAATGTAGCCCTCCAAATTTAGGTAAAATTTTGTTTAGTCCATGATTGAAGATGAATTTTGCATTATTTTAAGGCTATATTTGAGATATTATAGCCCATGACTAACTGAAGATGGCCTTACAAATTTTTGGGTTGGTGATATATGAAGGTGTGACTATTGTCCTTTCTCACGATTCTAACAACTTCATGACAAATTTTAGGTGTGTGACTAGTGTCAACTACCTCTGATGTGCATGAGGCCCATAACACGTCGAATATTTTAATATATTTAAAGTTTTTCTTAAATCTTTATTTGTGTATTAAATTTCTATTTGATATATTTCTTTTTATGTTTTTATTTGGTGTATGTATCTCTTCCTTTTCATTTTCCAATAATTGAATAATAATATATATACTTATAATCACTGCCATTCAATACACAAAGAAAGAATTCAATAATTATATCATTTGATTGCAATTTCATTACAATTTTCAACCAAAAAAAATTAATTACAATTCTCTGATCGTGAGTGTTGTCTGTATGGGCAGTGTAAGAGAG